GCTTCTTGTGTCATCATGTACATCTTCTTGCATCTCCTTAAACTGCCTATGTCATTCTGAAACACACCATAAGCTTGTTGTAACAGAGCCAAATTTTCACTCGCACTTTTGCCAATTTTCATGCAAATTTGAAGCAAATCCGCTGCTCCAGATTCCTGTCACTCATTTTCTGCCAACAGAACTGGCACACGTTATTACTACCGTATTTGCCGGCGTATAAGGCGACTGGGTGTATAAGACGACCCCCTAATTTTCCAGTTAAAACATAGGTTTGGGCTATACTCGCCATATAGGACTACCCCCCCCCCCCCCCCCCCTTCTGAGGCAACACCATTTAACCACAAGCCTACAGGGCATTTATACCCCCTTCCTGCCCAGGCCAAGTTTCAGCTTTCAGCTCTGTCACACTTTGACAATTGCGTGGTCATGCAACACTGTACCCATATGTAAATGTTATCATTTTTTTGTGACAGAGCTTTATTTTGGTGGTATTTAATCAACTTTGGGTTTTTTATTTTTTCTTAAACCAAAAACCACTGAAAATTTTGAAAAAAAAAAAAAAAACAATTCTGTTTTCTAAAATTTTGTAAATAAGTGATTTTTCTCCTTCACTGATGTGCGCTAATGAGGCTGCAGTGATGGGCACTGATAGGTGGCACTGATGGCAGCACTGGTAGGTGGCACTGAAAGGCAGCACTGTTATGGCACTGATGTGCACTGATAGGCGGCACTGATGGGCATTGACAGGCATCACTGGGCACTGAAAGGCAGCACTGATAAGTGGCACTGATCTGTGACACTGAAAGGCAGCTCAGATGGGCACTGGTATGTACTGATATGTGGTATTCATGGGCGCTGGCACGTGGCACTGATGGACACTGACAGGTGGCACTGCTGGGGCTACACTGATCATCAGGGCACATGTACCCTCCGCGGAATGCCGATTACCGGCTCTCCTCTCTCTGTCAGCGTGACAGCTCGTGGGGAGAGAAATGCCGATAGCCGGCATTTCCCTGTTTACATGTGATCAGCTGTGATTGGACACAGCTGATCACATGACCGAGCGGACCTCTTCGACTCTTTCCGTGATCGGTGATCGCTATGTTCGAGGGACACAGCGCATCGCCGCGCGCTTCCTGAGCTGTGCATGCGCGGAGAATGGGAGGACGTCATATGAGCCAATCACGGCAAGTGATGTATTCTATTAATAAATACATCGCTCGCCGTGATTCGCTCAGCGCGGTGTACTGTATGTAGCCGAAGCTACCGTACAGTATTACCGCACATCCAGCGGGCTGACATTCTTTACCCTGCGTATAAGACGACCCCAAATTGTTGGGGTATGTTTTTAAGTATAAAAAGTCGTCTTTACGCTGGAAAATATGGTACTTTGTAAAGACTGAGGCAACAGGTCTGTGACCCAGGCAAGTGCATGTTAGAACACACTTGAGTGCGAATGGCTGTGTTCATCATCACCATAGAGCTACGTCACAGGCATTCCAGGAATTAAATTGCCACATCTCATACGGTGAGACCATGGAGAACGAACATAGCCACCTTGTATTAGGAAGTCAGATCACATCAGCAAAAAAGGGAATTTGGAGGAGGCTGACAGCAATAGAAGGGACTTTTTTGAGTTAGGAATACAATAGATTTTTTTTTACCTTCCAGCACTTCAATGTCTGTGCTGCCGTTACATCTTCCATATTCACCCTGTCGTCCCCTGGGATTAGAATCTTCAGCCACCTAGATTGACTGGGATAATGTAACGCTTGTGCTTGTGACTCCTCCTTGGATATAACTGTTGGGTCTATAGAGTGTGATGCGCATGCTTGGTGTACACTCAGCAAAAAAAAAAAAAGCACTGACTGGCAGGAAGAATATATGACAGAGACATAGTCTTTTTAAAACAGTGGCTATTTGTGTGCCATTTTATTTTTTTAGCATTGGGTATGTAGTAGGAAAGGACCCTGTACCCACCCCCCTCGCCCTTATGGCAGATAAGGGTCACTTGCTTTTTAGGATTACAGAATGGTACTCGCCTATCTTCCAAAACGGTGTCTTTTCATTAACTGCCCCCCGTATCTACTGCCTGCCTATTACAACCCAAACTACTGCATGTCCAAAGGGATGGTGTGGCCATCCACTGCCCATGTGGTGTTTTGAGATGGCGTAAAAGTGGTAAATCCTCATTGCATGACTTATAGTGATTGTAAATGGTGAAGGTTTTTTACCTTCATGCATTCCATGACAGCGGTCAGGAGCCCTGTATCCTCCTACAGCTGATTTATAACTCCTCCTACAGGCTGTAGCCAGTGCTTGGCTGGACGTTGGTGGAGGTTACGGGACTGCTCTGGCTGCTGAGAAAAGGCACAGGCTTGTGAGGACCATGATGTCCTCGGCTCAGAGGAAGATGGAGGAGGTGGATAATGGCCATCAGACTAAAGATGAGAGTGGCAGAAAATTAAATATTGCTTTGGAAATATCTGGATTGCAGTTACAAGTAGGAGCATGGTGGAGTGACATACTGGAGTGGAGGAATCCACATATACAAACAAGAGCATATAGACCAACTCTTAATTGAGAAAGTCATGGCTGTCTGGTGAGTTCTCAGTAGTGGTACATGGAGGTGGAGTGGAGCACAAGGAGCAGAAATTGGAAGTGGTGGAATTGCATGAAGCACTTTTTTTCACAGGATAAGTTATATATTAGTGCACTTTGTGGAATAGCTGTTGCACTTTATAAAAAGCTTCATGTATATCATTCAAATTAGTCCATTATCCATAAACTCAAGAAGTCACAAATTTATATAAATACTAACCACATGTGGATGTTTGTTGTTTTTGCACTTTATGTAAGCGCTGTGTATTGTGGGCTATACTTGTTTTTATACATTATTATATCTATTACAGCAGCTATTGTACAAAGGGGGAGTCAATAAAATGCAGGTGTTTTTGTTTTATATGAATTTCTGTGACCCGTTATGGTTCCAAGAGCAATACCCAGTTTAACAGCATAAGCTCTGCTGCATAAAGAGCCTACAGGCTCAGAATGGTTCTAACCTGGCACAATTGTCTCCAAATCTGGATTCTACCATTGCTGGACTCCTACAAGAGGTGTTCAGTTTGGGAAAGGCATCCTTTAGTAAGAGATGATGCTGATAAATGCTCAACCCTTCTGGAAAATAGGCAATGGCAGTTTTTACTGTTAGATGTTGGCCTTGGATGGCTAAGATAACACTCGCATATTTTTGACACATTGTCCATAAAAAGCCCTTTTATCTACTAAGCCAGACGCATTATTTATCTTTTTTTCTTTTTTTTTTCTTGGCGAGCACTCCCCAATGCAAACTGTATTCTAAGAACAGGGTGGAGTCCAATTCAACTGCCCACTTCCCTAGGTATGTAAATAGCAACCGTGTGCAGGCCTTGTTGTGGCAGCATTTGTAATAGTCATCTGAATGTTGATATAAGGTGCCTGTTGGTAATTGCTAGCAATATTTGCTTTATTAAATGTATCCCAAACCCTCCCTCTCCCCATCTACATTATGGCCAGCAATAATTTTCTCTTTTGCCACCAGGCTTGCATAGGCAGCTGTGGGAAGATCCTTTTGTTGAAGGCATACCCCAGAACTACATTTCTCAAGAGACTTTTTCCTAGGCATAGAGGCAGAATGTTGGGAGTCGAGGCAGCAACATTTCCTTGCTGGGATAAAAAGTAATTTGTGTGGAGAGGGACAGAGTAGGGCGGGGTAATAGGCTGAGTTCTGTTCAGCAGCAGGGCTGACCACACTGATTGGGATTTCCGTGCAGCAGAAGCACTATTTTGTTAGCTCAAACAAGAAATCAGGATCTTGCTCGATTTCTGGCAGATCGACAAGTGTTCTATACTTGCGGCATAGTTAAAGGGATGGCCAGGAAGGGGTTAATCAACAAATCCATCAAAAATAATTCCTTTTTTTTTTGTAAAAACTGGTAACATTTCTCGCCAAACTTGAAAATCATATCCTGTATATAAAATAATGCAATCATTTGTATGCCAGCTCCTTACTGATATCTAGGTGTTGCCACCACTGACCACCTACTAAAAAAAAAATGTTATGGTTGTCCCTGGTTTTGGCAGCCTGGGTCCACTGACATGGGAGAAGTATGTGTCTAAACAGCATCTCTAATCAAATTTTTTTTTTGTGGATGGTCTTGGGAATATTTAGAACCTCTGTCCCCCAACCTCCTTCCCACTTGTGTCCTGTAAGGAAGATTTCCCGTTCACATCCTGTCCCAGTAATTGGTCACCAGAACAGATAGGTGAATCTTTGCAGTGGCTGTGTGCACGGGAGTGATGTTTCCACGGCTCGGATATTCAAACGGCCGAAGCCCGCAAACCCAGCAGGAACACTGCGTGCCACAGGGCTTTCTTTTCAGGTAAGTCTATCATTGTGCTAGTATGTTGTGCGTACTATCACATTACGCTGTTAACTTGCAAGGGGAAGGGTTTTTTTGCAGTTTACTATAACTTTAAACCCTAATGGCAAACTTCTTTTATAATCTATTAACTACTGTATATTTTGCTCCATAAGACGCACCTAGGTTTTAAAGGAGGAAACCAGAAAAAAAATATTCTGAAACAAGACTACAGACCTAGTACAGGAGATGACCAGAGACTGCGGATATAGTACAGAAGATGACCAGAGACTGCGGACATAGTACAGAAGATGACCAGAGACTGCGGACATAGTACGGGAGCTGACCAGAGACTGCGGACACAGTACAGGAGATGACCAGAGACTGCGGATATAGTACAGGAGATGACCAGAGACTGCGGACATAGTACAGGGGATGACCAGAGACTGCGGACACAGTACAGGGAATGACCAGAGACTGCAGACACAGTACAGGAGATGACCAGAGACTGCGGACACATTACGGGAGCTGACCAGAGACTGCGGACACATTACGGGAGCTGACCAGAGACTGCGGACACAGTACAGGAGATGACCAGAGACTGCGGATATAGTACAGAAGATGACCCGAGACTGCGGACATACTACGGGAGCTGACCGGAGACTGCGGACATACTACGGGAGCTGACCGGAGACTGCGGACATACTACGGGAGCTGACCAGAGACTGCGGACACAGTACAGGAGATGACCAGAGACTGCGGATATAGTACAGAAGATGACCCGAGACTGCGGACATACTACGGGAGCTGACCGGAGACTGCGGACATACTACGGGAGCTGACCGGGACTGCGGACATACTACGGGAGATGACCAGAGACTGCGGACCTAGTGCGGGGGATGACCAGAGACTTCGGACCTAGTGCGGGGGATGACCAGAGACTGCGGACACAGTACGGGAGATGACCAGAGTTCTTTCAGCAATGCACAGATGTACAGTTTGTGAAAAACAGCTCAGAGTTTGCTATAACAGTCCACAGGCAGTCTATAAGGGGGGGGGGGGGGGGTGGGAGGACATACATACCTGGCCAGCCATGCTCAGCATCCTCTGAAGTCCGGGGGTGGGGCTCCCACTCACATCGCAACTTCTACTACAACAGCTCCCTCTCGAGCATACAGGCTGCATGGGGTGGGGTCAGTGGAGCTTCTGGCCCCGCCCCCTTGCTGGCCTGCCCAGTATTCTAACATGGGGAGGGGGAAGCCTGGTCAATATTTGCTTCATAAGACAGACATTTCCCTTTTTTGTTTTTTTTTTGGGGGGGGGAGAGGGGAAAGTAGTGCGTCTTGTGGAGCGAAAAATATGGTACTTGCTGACCAACATACATGTTAAAATGTCCTGTCAGCAAGTGGTTATACCACTCTGCAGCAATGATCCTGGTACCATTTTTTTTTTTTTTTTTTTTTTTTTTTTTTTTTTTTTATTCGTACAATTGGCTGTCATGTAAAAGTGATCTGGGCAGCTTTACAGGCATCCAGTCACTTTTACAGCACTGGGAAGGGCCCCTTCACATCCAGGGAGCCTGGGACTGTAGTAGGTGGACAGGACGGCTTTCCACAGAGAAAATGGAGGAACATCCTTTTCCCAATCATCTGCTCTGTGATAAATGAAGCTGAAAGCCTCAAAGCATTTTGTCTCTCTCCGTTTGAGATATCAGGGGTTAAATAGACCCCTGATGTATCCATAAAGTGTACCTGTCACCTGTCCAAAGGTATCAAAATGGAGTTTGTTCATCCCCTTGTGATAGCAACAAAGTCAAATGAAAAAAAAAATAATGTAAAAGTACCCCATTTATACACACAAATACAAAAGTGCACATAGGTCTGGCACACGTACATAGTGACTGCATCACACGTGAGGTATTGCAGTGAAAGTAATGATTCTAGGACCATAATCCCCTATTAACTTGTAAAGGGTCACCTATGGACAGATTCAGTTACTGTAGTGTGTTGTACTTTCATGGGTGTGTGCAATTTTAAATCTTGACATGTTTGGTATCTAGTTACTCCATGCAGCATCATCTTTTATGGCCAGTTATTATTATTATACAGGATTTATATAGCGCCAACAGTTAGCTCAGCGCTTTACAATATAAAGGGAGACAATACAGTAACAATACAGTTCAATACAAGAGGGTTAGGAGGGCCCTGTTCTTAGGAGCTTACAATCTAGGAGGGAGGGGTTAGTGGTACAAAAGGTAGTAACTGTGGGGGATGGACTGGTAGGAAGAGTAGAAGATTCCATTATTAGCTGAGGGCAGGGTAGGCTTCCCTGAAGAGAGAGGTTTTCAGAGATCGCCTAAAAGTGAGCAGAGTAGGTGATAGTCTGATAAATTGGGGTAGAGAGTTCCAGAGGATGGGGGAAGAGCTGGAGACGAGCATAGGAGGAGGAGACGGGAGCTAGAGAGCAGGAGGTCTTGTGAGGAGTGGAGCGGACGGTTTGGGTGATATTTGGAGACAAGATCAGTGATGTAATTTGCGGCAGAGTCATAAATGGCTTTATACGTTACTGTTAGTGTTCTGAATTTTATCCGTTGGGCAATGGGAAGCCAGTGGAGGGATTGGCAGAGAGGGGTGGAGGGAGTGGAGGAATTGACAGAAAGAGGTGGCAGATACAGAACGGTTAGTAAGGTGGATGAGTCTGGCAGCAGCAGTCATGATAGACTGAAGAGGGGATAGCCTGCGATGAGGTCGGCCAATGAGGAGGGAGTTACAATAGTCAAGGCGAGATATAACAAGGGAGTGAATAAGTTGCTTAGTGGTGCTTTAGTCACGGACTGAAATCGTCCGGTGCTTATCTGTTCCTGTCCAAAATTTATGACGCTAGCTTTGAAATGTGCGCACATTGGAAGGGACTCACGCTGACACACAAGTTCAGTCTATGAATACTTCTAGTTTATTATAATGAGAAAGTGAACTTATATATGCAGAATGATGCGAGAGTCATGTGACAACAGCATAAGCATTATATTAGTCTTTGATTGGTCATTTCCACACGAAAACAATCTCCGTCATGGTATAGGTGTGATCTTCTTCAGTCTTATCTTATAGAGAAGAAAAACATTCCTTTGTTTCCCAAATCACACGGTGGGAGGGGGTTTGTGTGTGTGAGCAGACATTTCTTATAGTACCACAAAGCCCAGCAGGCAGAAAATATTCACACAACATATGTATTAAAGTGTAAAAGTAAATATTTTATAAAACTTATAGAAATAGCGTATATATATATATTCAATAGGGAACGAAATAGGCATTTTACCAAATCCATCACAGTGGTTTCCGAGGTTAGGAACGGCGTATCTTGGAGATGTTGTGGAGGTGAAGTCTACAAGATTTGGACAGCGATTGGATTTGGGGCTGAAAGGACAGATGGGAGTCTAGGATTACACCTAGTACCCTGGCATGAGGGGAGGGACTGATGATTGTGTTGTTGATCTTTATGGAGAAGTCAGGGGAGGGGGCACGGGCTGGGGGGAATACTTAGTGCTCAGTTTTGGAAATATAGAGATGGTACTTAAAGCCATGGGAGTTTATCAAGTGACCAAGGGGGGAGGTGTAGATGGACAAGTGTAGGGGTCCAAGGACGGAACCTTGAGGGACCCCTACAGAAAGAGGGAGTGAAGAGGAGGAGCCAGAGTTATAAGTTCACACCATAACGTGGTGCTGGAAAGACCTTTTTTCCACACCTCATACATCCCAAACGCAGATTTCAAACAGTGTGTGTGTGCTGGCACTAGATCGCATGGTACCGCAGTGCCTTTTTAAAAGCAGTGCACACTACTTTTTCCACATCCTGGTGGGTTTTGAAGCCGTTTCAAATGAATGGAGTGCAAAATCTCACCGCATGAGAACGCTGAATGCATTTGCTGTGCATTCCTAATATGAACTGACCCTTACCCAATTTTTTGGTAAAATAGTGTCTATTATATTGTGTATGCCAAAATTCATTTGAGTGTATTTTTTTTTCCTGAAAATTTGTGTTGAATAAGCAGCTGTGCAAATGTACAACAAAAAAAATTGCAGCAGCCAGTATTTTATTCTCCAGGGCATCTGCTGTCCGAAAATATTTGTTTAGGGGTTCTAAGTAATTAGCAAAAAAAAAATAAAAAATGCAGATTTTTGCATATATGTGAAAAATGTCATAATTGCCCCAGACAGCAAATGGTTAAAGATGTACAGTAATTGAAAGGTTTGTTATCTATTTGATTAAAAAGAGTAATTGTCCTAATATGGCCATATTAGGTCAGTGATGTCACAAGTATCCCCACCCTTTGTGTATGCGCAGCTGGGAGTGGGGAGTGCCCTGGCTGCAGCTGATTAGGCTGCCATTAATGGCTTTCTTTTGGGTTTGGACGGAACCCAAGCTTATCTTTGGGCTTTCAGACAGGATTACTTCTATTTCTTTAGTTCTGCTATTAGTTTAGTACATTTTTTTCCCCTCTAAGGTTTTGTTTTAAAGTGGACTAAAGAATAAAAGAACAGGTTTAAATCTATTATCACACTATTATGTAAATTGGATAAAATATATTTGTGAATATATTTTAGTAGATGTCATCAATCTAAAAGGCATACCTCCGTTTTGTCTCATTTTAGGTCCACTCACTCAAAATGATATAATATGCATCACTAATCCTATGCTCCTTTAGGCTGCTTGATTATCAACTCTTCTATAACTATAGTTTCTGCATTCGGCACAAACACTATTTAATGACATTTATTTCAATGGACAGAGCTAAATTCAATCTACAACAATGCAACTACATGTCGCGTAACACACATCTGCGCCTGCTAGAACATGGCAGGTAATGCCCAGCTCCCCTCCCACCTATTTTCCCATTTTTTTTTTTTAAACCCCCAACTTTTAAACAGTTTTGAAGTCGCCTAGTTCCCATGTCCTGTGTCCCACGCCAGTGCCTTCTCTGGGAGTGGTGACCAGCACCTAGTGCTATGAAATGTGGCCTGTTGGTAGTCAATTGTCATTGGGAATTGACGCTAAGGGCACATTTAAAGTGGTTGTAAAGGCTGAAGATCTTTTTTTTTTTTTTTTTTTTATACCGCCATGAATTCTATGCATGAAGGTAAAAGGCCTTCAGGGAGGAGCTCTCCCCCCCCAATACTGACTTTAGCCTAATCTTCTCCCAGCCCTGTGCATGGGAGCCTCAGTTCTCCTGTGTTTTCCTCTCCTCATTGGCTGAGACACATAGATACGCAGCGACAGCTCAGGAGTGAGCACGCACAAGTGCACCCTGCTCAGGCGGCTTGCTCAGAAGAGAGGAGGGGCCACAAGCGCGCCAACCTGGGACCCGAGAAGAGGATCGGGGCTGCTTTGTGCAAAATTGTTGCACAGAGCAGGTAAGTGTAACACGTAAGAAGAAAAAAAAATGAACCACTTTAATCAATTTTGAACTGTCACTGGGGCAGGAATAAAGGGTGATGGTAATAGCTATCTAAAGCTGGTCATACATTATCAGCCTTATTCAACCTTTTGTACCCCAGAGAAACCTCTAAAATAATTTTCAGGTCTTGGGGTATCTTTACTAAACCCACTTTATAAGGGATCAGGTGGAAAAATGCCCCTTCTTATGATGGTCAGTAAGAAGAATGCAAGCATTACCCACAGCTAAGAGGTCATTGGTGTTGCGCTCCTGTTTTTGCCAAGTAGTGTTTGACCTCCCAGTTGATGGTGCCTACATCACTCCAGGGCCTTCAGCCATGCTCAAGGAACCCCTAGCAAACTCTGCAGGAACAGTCGATGAAAAGGGCTGCACTATACAATATGATTGTGCGATCTATTTTAACTATCAAAGCTAGGTATTCTGAAGACAGGCCTAAGCAATCCATTCAATATGTATCAAATTAGGAAGGCCCTTACTCTACATCATATATGTCAAACACACAAGGCCCATGGGGTAAA